CTCACTCACTCACTTGCAAGGAAACAACCTAAGGAGAGCCATTTTTGAACAGTTGCTTCTCTGCTGCATCCTCCCCTCTCCAGGGCTGGCCAGCATTGGCATTGGCTTCTATCCAATACCTGAACTCTGTATTTTCCCCCATTTGTCAATCCAAGCTCCAGTAATGGTTCCTGTTTTGGTGCATAATGTTTGGCTCATAGTGGAAAGAGGAACATACCATGTTGGGTGACTGTTCCCCAGTTACATCCTTTCCCCTGTGATGTGTGCCCCTCTTTGTTGATTTAGAACTGAGCTTTTTCATAGTTCTTGTAGAAGGCAAGCTATGTGCAGCAGAATTTGCCATCAGCATGACCCCTGTTCACAGGATTTTTGTGGCTCTGCTCCCCTTTACATATTATAAAGCAGTGGAGGGGGGGAGCAAACATAGGATCTTATACTTAGACACATCGTTAAATAGCATATGATTTTATTTGTAGTGTTTGTTCTAAATAGGTGACTTTTGCTTACCATGTGTCCTTTCCATTCTTTGCTTCAGAGGTTTGCAATAGAAAAGGGAAGGGAGTGGGTAGTAATTTAGCACATTTTATCCTCCAGGTATCCCCAAATAGTTCACAATCATTGTCCTTCCTAATAGCATTGAATGGGCTTGTAAAGAGTTTACATTGGCACTAAAAATAAACAAACCTCTTTTGAAAAGCTGTTATGTAAGAGTCTTTTCCAAATTATGTTAATGCTGTGGAAGGAAATCTAGTTATAATGAAAACATAATTTGAGACCAGCAGCCAAGTACCACTGAACACGATCCAACTAACAGTGTGTGGGGGATGCTCTGAAAAGCATGCTTGTGTGTGTCTTTAAAAACTGTAAGCATGTGAAAATTCACTAGCATCATACCCCCCCCACCCCCCATCCTGAAGAATATGTTGTCCTCCTTAGTTTTCCCCTAATGTTTGCACTTTAAAACTCTCCTTTGCTTCTCAACTGCATGGACATTATGGAAGTGATCTGGTTAAAAACTGTAAGAAAAAATAGTGTCTTTATTATTGATGCTAATCTGCAGGGTCCTGAATTTGCACAGAAGATGCAGGGAGGCTCTAATCTTTAAACCGTTGCATCATGGAGTTTGTAAATTGGTAGATTTAGAAAGTGTAATGAAGACACGATGAATAGGTCACGGAGTGTAGTTTGAAAACCTGCTGTCATGTTGGTTTTACAGATTTTCAAGGCTCCTAGTAATAAGCAGGCTGCTGGTGATTTGAAAGCTACTCTTGCCTTTTGTAAGACACTTTTTCTTAGGCTCGTACCACAAACGGAATGCATTCTAAAAAATCTTATGTAAATATTTGGTTCTTTTAATCTGTGGAATCATTGCAAATGTTCCCAAGCAGAACACTTTTGTTTATCACATTTTCTTTTTATTTACAGACACTGCAGTAACAAGCTAGGTCTTGCATTTAATATTGTATTTTCCTCATTATCTCAGCTTTGAAAGATGGCATGCTTGGGACTCCATTACTCAGCCGGATATTGTGAATCTCTATGCAGCCTATCCTTAGCACACACGCTTCCTCAGCGTGGGATAATCTAACCTCTCTGCGACTGAATGTTTTTTGACTGAGGAAAGGCTCCTTTTTAGTCACATTGAGCAATATTCATTCAAAGCCAATACAAAGTGGTGTGAATTGCACCTCCTTGTGGCAACCTGCACCCCAGGTGGGAGGGTTATTCTGACAGGAAAGCACTGATGATACTGATGCCTGCCTTCTCTCAAGCTTTCTGCTGTAGTGGGGAGGGCAGCTTTAGTTGCTGCTGCGGCCCTAAAGTCGTTTAGAGCAGAGATTTCTAAGGGGAGGCAGTGAATCAGTGCCTCCCCAGTAATGTTGGCTTTACTGCCTTGCTGGCCAGCAATACCCATTGCTGTACTGGTCCCCTGAGCAGGCCCACCCCAGTAGAATGGGAGAGTCTTCTAGTGGCATAAATCCGACTATCTGCCTTCCAGGCCTTGTTTGCTGTGGCTTCCTCTGGTGTAACACTGGGCTGCGTGTGGCTATGGCTGCACATAAGCAAGGAAGATAGTGAATGATATTCCAAAGCTTAAGCATTGTGAACCCAAATAATTAAGCAAATAATATATGAGCTGAGCCTGAAATATTGGACTTGTTTATACTGCTAGAGACCATCTACAAAGTTTGGGGGTACTTAAAACTGGGGTTGTGTTTTAAATAATGGTAGGTTTCTATAATACAGAAAGCCACATGGGATTCTAGCAGCCGTAACGTATCAGCTCCCGGTGGTATTGGGTATCACTGGTTTCTTGTGTGTGATTATATCTCTCCCTTTGTGGCTGACCCTAGCAATTATTCAGGCTAGTTACATCCCACAGCAAAGAGTTCTCAACAGAAGTGTAAAACTTGCACTTTTGGTGCTGAAGGTTGAATGCCTGCTGACAGCAGTAGTGTCTGTGTGTATGTGGATGTGGTTCATTAAGAGTTCTCTGTGTATTTTTCACTGAGTTAGTCCCAAATCATTTTTGGAAATGACGTATATTACCTGTTTCCTTTCATAAGCAAGTTAGTCAGGAAGCATATTAAAGAATTAGCCAGAGAACAAACTACAGTGCTGCAGTTGACAAGGAACATGATGTGATGGTGAGAAATGCACATTTTTTTTTAAAACTAAGGGCAAAATTCTCATCTCTGCTGCTCTCTGTGGGTCTCTTAGTGATATCATTGGAAGTTTCATTCACAGGACAAGAGCTGAATGTGGTTTGCAGAAGAGATACACAATGTGGAAGAGAGGAGGATTTTGTAAGGGCTAAAGCCCCAGGAATACTTAGTTCTGATTGCAAATCTTTTGCTCCTAATAGTTTGTAGGTGGCTTATGTATGAGGTTTAAATAAAATATTACTAAGCTTTTAGTGGTAAAATTTGGCTAAAAATAGGGTTGGGTTATTAAGATGAATAAACTTAAATATAATATATAAAATATACATATATACAAGTTTGTAGCTTTTGTTACCAGTTAGAATACAAGGCATTCATTCTTTAGAACCAGAACTAATGGCATTTTTATATCCAATTCCATACAGAAGAAATTTTGAAAAAGTAATTCAGGCATCCATTAAAATCCAGCAGACAGCATATTTAAAGCGAATACTTCAAGCCAGTCCCAGAGGGCAAAGAATAAGCCTTTTTAATTAGAATTGTATTATAAGAGAAGTTTTGTGGTTCAATTGTTAATGTATACTTAGTTGAAACCTACATGCATTTAAACTAGTTATTTTGTTCAACTTCAACTCAGTGCGTAAATAGCCAGGCTACAAGATACATCCTACCCTATTAATTAGTGTTAGTATTCCCATCGGTACAAGCTGATTGTCTGCCAATTCCAAAAGTTTACCCTTAAGCATGATGGCACTATATGATTGAAAACAAAACTGCCTGTAGGTATTCCCTATATGTTTTTGTATTAAATAGGACAATGTTTCCCATAATATTATTTCCCAGGTTAGTGGGTAGTTACTTAAATCCCAGACAGCAAGTTACGTAAGCTTTGAGTGCTATTGATCATGTCTACACTATACCAGTATTCACTGAAGAACAATATAAATTACTGTACACCAGTTATGATTATAAAGCTTACAGTGATGTAACGGACACTATTTTCATCAATCTAAAGTTCAGACTGTTACTGCAGTTTAAATATTGAAACAGTGTATTAATGTGTGTACTATGCTTTTGTGGTTTTGGAAACCTCTGTTTATTTAATGTGATGGAATAAATAATTCAGAATTGTCACCCTCAATTTACAATTTGTTGGGATCTATATTTTAAACTGTTTTAGCCTAGAAACTGTAGGCAAGATAATAATATGCAGTAGAAAAATTCTTACTGATGAACACCATATTAATTCTTCACACAGTGCACAGTCAACCTGTGGAACTCGTTGCGATGGGATGTTATGACGGTCAAAAGTATAACTGAGTTCAAAAAAGAATTAGATAGATTCATGGAGAATAGATCCATTGTTGGCTATAAGCCAAGATGGTCAGGGACACAACCCCGTGCTCTGGGTGTCTCTAACCACCTGACTGCTACAAGCTGAGACTGGATGACGGGTGGATCACTCGATATAGTGCCCTGTTCTGTTCGCTCCCTCTTAATGATCTGGCACCGGCCGTGGTTGGAAGACAGGATACTGGTTAGATCAGGGGTAGGCAACCTATGGCACATATGCCAAAGACGGCACACAAGCTGATTTTCAGTGGCACTCACACTGCCCAGGTCCTGGCCACTGGTCCGGGGGGAGGTCTGCATTTTAATTTAATTTTAAATGAAGCTTCTTAAACATTTTTAAAACCTTGTTTACTTTACATACAACAATAGTTTAGTTATATATTATAGACTTATAGAAAGAGACCTTCTAAAAACATTAAAATGTATTACTGGCACGTGAGACCTTAAATCAGAGTGAATAAATGAAGACTCGGTACACCACTTCTGAAAGGTTGCCAACCCCTGGGTTAGATGGACCTTTGGTCTGACCCAGTATAGCCATTAGTATGTTATGTTCTTAATTAGTGGCCTTCCCTCCTCCCTCTAAGATAAAACAACTTGTTAAATTTGGTTTAATTTCAAGCAAGCCTTACAAAAAGTTGCATAAATGTTCATGTGTCACACTTCTGTATCAACTATATCAACTTATGCTGGAACCCAAAATCATACACTCTGGGTAGGTCAGGAAGGGAGGTGAGTGGAAATGCATTATGACTTTTGATATAGCCAGTGCAATGAACACAGATCAAAAGAGCAAGCAATTGTTTAAATGATAAAGCATTTATTATAGCTTTATGATATGATAGGGCATTTCTTACTGGCCATTAATATACAGCTCAGGTGCATGTGAAGCACAACAGAGCAGACCTCATGAATGCAAACATCACTTCACCCAAGGAATGGAATGTATATCTGTATCTTAGTGAATTTGTCACTGTTTTTCAGAAATATCGACAGTACATGTCAGGACTTCTGGCTCCTCCTTATGGTGTTATGGAAAGTGGCTCTAACAATGACAGTAAGTAAATATATATATATATATATTTGGAAATCAGTTTTAAAAAAGTCCCTCCTCCTTAGATATTGGAGTTTTGTTCTCTTTAAGCATTGTGATGCATGATCTTTTTTTTAGTGTGGACAGGAAGTGGTGTCAGTGTCCACCGTAAAAAAAAAGGGGGGGGGTGCCCCAACTTTCTTTCTTTTATCTACCCGTTTTTCAGCTGATAGCAGTGAGAAGTGGGGGATAGCAAGGAACAATTATCTACTACACACCAGTCAATTTGAGGACTGCATTCAATTTTTCTGTTAAGTGCTGAGGGCAACACATCCAAAATTGTGTGCCTAACTAGGTACCTAAATCCACACTTAGGTATCTAAATTGAAATGAAGTCTTTGGGAGCTGTAGATACTCAGCACTTCTGAAAATCAAGGATGTTTATTTAGGTGCCTGAATATGGATGTAGGATGTCTAACTTTAGTTGCTCAAATCTGCTAATGTTGGCCAGTATGTTTATACATTTGGTATATTTGTTGTATCTGCAGTACTCGTGGCTGCATTCCATGGGATTCATATGACATCTTAACAGAGAACGTTCTTCTAAAGAAACACATACCAATGTTATACTATATATTATGTTTTATAGAAGAATAGGTTGTTATGGGCAGTGCTATTTTTGTTTTTAAATATTAAAACACAGTGTAATCCCTGAGCACAACAATTTCTGAGTTTTATGTGTGCCCAGCCAAATGCCCATGTACAGTCTTGAAATCTTAAAATTGGGGGAGGTAACCTGCCGATACATGTAGGATTTACACATTTGTTATTCTTAATGGGCATTTCATCTTTATAGCCTTCATAAGTAGGTAGGAAGTACATTTTTCATTTCTGAATAATGTGGATCAAACTTACACTAACTACTAAACCTCATAAGTAAATGCACTCAAACTGCTAAGACCCTCCTAATTTTTTTATTACTTTCATGAATGGTTGCTTTAGTATTTAGAGAATGCACAATATGCTGTATTGATGTATTCCCTGTTTTCTTTTAGGGATGCCTGACAAGGAGAATATGTCTAGTAATGCTCTTTGCCCAGTATCTAAAAACTGTAATAAGGTAAATCACACATCATTCTTCACTACTTTGAAAATAAAAAAGAATAAATATAGCATTAAATTGGAAAAACAGTAAAACAATAAAAAGGGATGGAGGGAAAGGTCGCAGTCCTACAAAGGCTTAAAACACATGTGTAACTTTATTGCACATGGAAAATCCCAGGCTACCACTGGGCTTTCGTCTGTGCAGGATCAAAGACCAGTGGCTGAACTTTTCTCTCTCTCATTGCTGGTCCAGGACCAGGACATAAAAAAAAAAGGTCTGTTATCTCAAATATATTCAGCTACTGTTGAAATTGGCAACAGCTTGTGCCTGGATCAGAACTTCACATCTGGGGCTCGTCTCTATAATAAAGTCACTGGGATGGAAGAGTATGTGGGTGAAATGCATCCCTGTGAAGAGGCCCAATGCAAGCCAAGGCACCATTATAGTCCTAATTCAGACCTACTTTGAGGGCTTAAGTGGGTTTTACGTAATGCATAGCCCTTGTATTGTCCCTTTACACAGGGCTGAATTTTACCTTATCTGCACAGAATAGCTGTAATCTCAATTCCCTTTCAAAAAGTGCTTCTCTGCCTTCATACTAACCAATTGGAACACACATATGATAATTTATTAGTAATGCTGTTTGGGTTTAAAATAACCACAATAGCAGGAAGAAATAATAGTAGCAGGGTCTGTTCCTGCTGGGGCCTGGGTGGGAGAGTTACATGGATATATAATGTTGCTTGGATGTTTTTCTTTCTGGACATAGTATTTTAAAATCATGCATTTATTTTATGTCTTTAAAAAAATAATAGAATTTTTAAGTGGAAATTGAAAATATCTCTTGACAGCAGATAAAGCAAAAGAATACTTTAGCCCATTTCATTAATGTGAATATAACTAATTGAAAAAGGAAACCATTTGTTCTTGTTCACTTCCACCTCTCCCTGTCTGCCTGTCCCTCTTCCTCAGAGATAGTAACCTTTCTTAATCATGTCTTTTAGCCTTTATTAAGCATACAGACACTACTGCATACGCAGTTCCTTTTTCCGCTCTGTTATTCACTAACAGCATAACACTTCCTGACCCAGCCTTATCCTGCATGAAAATTAACACTTTTCCATGAATTTAGTAATAGTAATCCTATGCACTCTGATAGCACCTTCCATTCTAAAAGCTTTCTAAAAACATTTATGAATTAAGGTCACAACACCTCTGTGAGGCATGATCATCTCCATTCTACTTATGAGGAAACTCAGGCACAGAGAGGCTAGGTAACATACTTGAGACCACACAGGAAGTCGGTAGCAGAGCTGAAGCGAAGTAGTAGAGCGGAAGTTCACTTGTGGAATCCCACAAGGATCAATGCTCTCTCCTGTCTTATTCAACATCTGCATCTAGCCACTAGATAAATGTGGGCTCAGGTGCCAGAAATATGTAGGTGTCACACAGCTCTACCTATCCTTCACCACATATGGGCATATGACTACCACCGAGATGGTTCAGTGCTTGGATGAGATCAGCTCATGGATGATATCAGCTGGTTGAAACTGAACCCAAGCAAGACACAGGTGATGCTGGTTAGCAAAGGAAAGCATTTGGAAGGTTTGCAGCAATGGTGCAATCACCTTTGGTTGAAGGTACACATTCACAATTGGTCAATTCAGTCTGTAACTTAGGAATGCTCCTGGATTCCTCACTGCTGCTAAGCTTTCACATGGCAGCATCTGTGAGTAATGCTTTCTACTGTCTCCAGTTGACTAGGAGACACCATCACATCCTGGCAAACGATGACCACGCCTTTGTCACCTCTTGGTTGGCCTACAGCAATACAATATACCTGAACATGAAGTCTTCAGCACTATGATGGCCTTCGCTCATGGGGAGCATTGCCTCATAGTCTGGACTTAGGCCCTTCGTACTGTGGAGGCAGGGTTTGGTAGGGGAGCCCAGGCCCTCCCACTCCACCAGACTCTGGCTCAGGGCCCTGTGAGGCCTATCAAAGGTCTGACACCTGGGAAACCTTACGGCTGCCCTCCCTGAGCCACTTCCTATCATCCCAGGATTGTTCAGAGTTCGCTGTCTGTGGCGAGGAGATGTGCCAGGAGGTCAGCTCACCGCTTGGCACCTCCTTGTGGCCATGCGCGATGTGGTGGCTCCTCCTCACGGTGGCAGCTGCCCCATCTGGTGGCTTTGCCCTGGGCCAGGTCAGTCCTCAGTCTCTCCCCTGCTGGGGTAGTCCATAGACAAAAGAAGGGGAATTAATGCAATCACTGAGCCCATATGAGAGAGAGGGGAGTGCCTCCCCCTCAGGGAGTATCTGCAGCAGGTAGGGTTGCCAATCCTTCAGGATTAGCCTGGAGTCTCCAGGAATTAAAGATTAATCTTTAATTAAAGATTGTCATGTGATGAAATCTCCAGGAATATATCCAACCAAAACTGGCAACTCTAGCAGGGCCTCTCTTCCCTCAGGGAGGCACCTTTGGGCAGTTGTTTCAGGGAAAAGTCCTTTCTTCCCTCAGCTCTTTTCTCAGGTCCAATCTCTTTCCTGGCCTGCTTGCAAGTGAGCTGTTCTGCTCCCTTTTAGCTCCTCCTCCAGTCCGTGCATCTCTTGCAGGTGTGGCGGGGTGGGGCTGGCTAAGCCCAGAGCAGCTCATTAATCCTCTGTTACCATTGTGGGGTTTGTGTACCCCATCACAAGTTCTTAGGAAATTCCACTCGGTCCAGAATGCTGCACTACTCTCCTCAGCAACACAGACTACTGTGAACACCTCAAACCTGTCCTCCACACGCTACACTGGCTTCCCATAGAATGTCAAGTCAAGTTCAAAGTCTCAACCCTTATCTTCAAGTTGCTCAATGGCCTGAGTCCAAGTTATCTAAAAGATCAGCTAAAGCTCTGGGATGAAGAATGTGGCTGACAATTTCACTTCTCTGGCACAATGTAACTTTCTGCAATGAGGGTTAAGCTCCTGTGTGCGAGGCCCAGATCTTTCTTGGGGGCCAGTCAAGACTGGGGATGAACTCCCCCAGGAACCAAGGACCATCACAAATTATATCACCTTCTTCTCTAAGTGAAAGGAACCTTTTTTTGATATTGACTTTTCTGACATAAACATATAGCAACACATGTATATATTTAAAAACATTCCAAAACAAAACACTTTACATACAATTCTTCTTCAGGGAGATGAGAGAACAAACATGAGATGTTAGTCACTTTTCTTAGTGCAGTACTGAAAGATGGTGATGAGTGTGGTATAAAAACCTATGTAGAACAGAATAGCTCATGACTCCTAGTTCTATGCTTTTCCCACAAGTTCATAGTTCTTTTTATTTACAGGAAGTAAAAAAGCAAGTGCACCAAACAATATGTAAATGCATAAATGTTTAGTTTACTGCATGTCAGATTTATTTATATATGCATTTATGAATTATACCAATACTATAGAACCTGAACAACTTGTACCAGTCTCATATCCTGCTATCAATTAAAGATTTGATTGACCTGAAAAATATGCCTGCAGGTCCAGATTCTCAGATGTGTGGGGGTAGCTTTACACTGATCCAGGATGCAAAGTTGCCCTAAATCCAGCATTAGCAGCCAGAGAAGGATTCCCCCTGTATAGATGAATCTTTGGGTAATGCAGAGCCACTTGAACAGCTACTAGGTTTGTGCAGAATCGCATGTCTGGAGTATCCTTATGCCACAGTTAGCCTTGGCTACTGGAATGACCCTAATGATGCTGGCGGTAGGTGCAGTTTAGAGCAGGAGTCTCAACCTTTTTCTTTCTGAGGCCCCCCCAACATGCTATAAAAACTCCACAGCCCACCTGTGCCACAACTGGTTTTCTGCTCATAAAAGCCAAGGCAGGCATCAGGGAGTAGCAAGCAGGGCAATTGCCTGGGGCCCCATGCCACAGGGGCCCCCGCAAAGCTAAGTTGCTCAGGCTTTGGCTTTAGCCCCGGGTGGCAGGGCTCGTGGGCCCAGGCTTCAGCCCCATGCTGTGGGGCTTCAGCTTTCTGCCCGGGGCCCCAGTGAGTCTAACACTGGCCCTGCTCGGAGGACTCCCTGAAACCTGCTCATAGCCCCCCAGCAGGCCTCGGACCCCTGGTTGAGAACCACTGGTTTAGAGCACCCTTCAAAGATCAGCCAAGCGCGGAGGTGGATGAGGTTTAAAGGAAGCTCTTTAAAATACTATGTTCTGTAAGAAAACATCCTGCACGGATCTGATATATTTCCAATTTTTTTGTTTTTATTATTTTCATAGAACTTTCTTGTTTTAATTTTGCATGTAAATAATTCACAAATCTTTTCATATGGCTCATAAATTTGCTTCAAATTAAATAGAATATATTCCACTCTTTAAATATGAAATGTATTCATCTCTGATTCGGTTTATGTTAATTCTTTTAATAGCTCTAGAATAGATGATTTTCCATATTCACCGTCTAATTATTTGAGCTGTATGTTCATAGCTTAATTTTTTTCTCTTGTCACCTTTTTCTTTTTTGATGAGTAACATAGATTTTTCTTCTAATGTATGCCTTCCAAGTATCCCACCATATGGGAGCATTTGGTATTCCTGGTTCAATTAAAATGGATCAAAAATGCGTTTCTGTCTGAAGAAAGCTGCTAAGTGATTTTTTCGTACCAAACAGGAATTCATTTGCATTTGGGGTTACTTTAGTGCACATCATTTAATACAAAGACACAATTAAACTGAGCATAAAATAACTGAAACAAAATATGCAATGATTGTGTTAATGTCATCAGTTATATTTTGGGGAATGGAAACAATCAATTCTAGACTCTCTTACCTTAGAAAAAAGAACATAAATACTTTCTGTTGGAGTAGTTAAGTTTAATAATTGTATGATAGTGTCTCTTGAAATAGTTTTGAAAATTCTTATAGAACTAAACCTAGATATGACTGGGTCTAGTAGTTGAGCTTAAATTTCCAGGCTAAATGACAGAATCTATGATCATCTCAGATACATTTTGGAAAAAGTTA